CAATAGTTCATCTCCGTTTCATCTTGAACTTTTTAAGAACATTTCATTTGCTTTTAAAGTAGATCTGGAGTTTCTTTTCATTGATTAATGTCCTCCATGTTTATTTATGTCTGGTGTACGCTGCACAAGCTGAAAACATTGATTTTTGTTGGGTGGGATGGGGTTTCTGAACACTGGATGCAAAAAAAGGAAATCCAAATAGCACTGCACTGTGCAACACCTTCCCCAAAGATCACCTAAGTTATCACAGTCACCCTGTAGGCTGGAGATCATCTTTACATGCAAATGTTTTGTTTTTTTAAGGAAAGCTCTTAAAGCTGATTTCCACTTTATTACATTTTTTTAAAAAATTAGTCATTAGACATCAGTAGAGGTACTCTGGATTATTTGCCATATGTATACAAATAAATATTAACAAGAATCAAATGAAGAACACTGGCTACTGACTAATAGTCAAAAGACTTCACCTGACTTCCATTTTCAGTATATGACTATATTTTTATAGTACAGGATGATGACACTTCAGAAATATTTGTATGACTATGAAAAAGTGGGAGAAGCCGTTTCTCTTTTCATGCTTTAAAATGTTTGTGGGTTTGGCTTTCACTGACGAGCTGACACTTTCAGAGCAGGTGTCATATCCGAATGTATTTTCTATGAACTGAATGTAAGGCAAGAACACAGAATAAAGGAGTAAATTAAATAAACAGTGAAGATGGGCTGCAGTTTGTTTTTGTTTTTTTCTCCCAGAGTTTCTAAAGCAAGTATTTTTCTAAGTGGCATTTAAACTTATCGGCAAAATGTGAAGGGTTTGTTACATCTTAGTGCTTCCAAGCCACCTAAAAGAAGAAAAAATAAATGTTATATTTGACTGCATTTGTTCAGGAAGGAAAAACTCACAATTATAAACACAAAATTAACACAACCACAAGCTTTTTCGAGGGTTTTTTTTGTAGGATCTTGGTATAAAAAGCTGTTCATGTAGATGCACATGTCAAACTCTCTGCAATAAAATAAAGAGAAATGAGTTCACATAAAAAAATGACAACTGGAGGTTCAGAATATTCTAGAAAGACATTGAGACTGGAACAATAAATTATCTCAAAAACCACTATTCTTTCCTGCTGCATTACTATAAAAAGCTGCCTCTTGGCTGTTTTTCTAAAAAAAATGGTCTCCTAACCTTCCTGATCATAAATTACATCAAAGTTTTTTGTTGTCACATAAGATGGAAAGATGTTGCTAAGCGTCGTCACTTTGTCGTAGCCTAACAAAGCACAACTTCACGCTAACACTTAATAGACCGCAGAAAGATTTAATCTTATTTCACAAACTGAGCATGAACTGGAACAAATTAGCAGCTAAAATTTTCATGTTAATTAAACTAATAACAGTAAAATGCATTTTTATGTTAATATAAACACCCTGAAGCCTTTTGTTGTGAACTTTCATGCATACAGTCGCTTTATTTTAATCACAGGGAAACAAGCACTGGGTTGTCTGAACAGTGGATTCATCACAATTTTAGATTAAATTTGGATAAGCATGATCCTGAATAATAATAAAAAAAACGTCACTAAATACTCTGCTGTATTTATCAGACTGATTTGACTCAAAGTAACCAAATGTGAGACGAGAGAAGCAGAGTAAAACTCACAAACTGCACAGCGAAGAGGAACTGAAGAGATGTCTGTTCCTGTTGTTCAGGAAGAACATTTGCAGATGGTTATATTGTAATATTAGCGGTCACAACGTGTCAGAATGATATCCTCTACTTAACTCCTTTCAAAAGTAGCCCAGGGTGTTCAAACAACACAAACAGATATTTCTGGGGCATTAAATTTGTGCAAATGAATAGAACTTGGTTTATTTAATAGTGCAGTGGTGCTGTGGTTTAACTCATACCACAGTGCCACTTATTCCCATGACAGTGAGGTTTGTTGGCTTGTTGGCATTCACAAAGACACGTCCCATTTCCTTCATCACCTTTTCCCGTCATCTTGCTTTTGCCTCCTGTTGTTGGGTGCTGTTCTTGTCGTCACAGTTGAGATGTGATAAACCGAACAATCCAATCAGCACACAGAGGAAAGTCGTTTCTTTGCCAAATGGCTGGAGTCTATCTCACCAAATTCTGACATTCACTGCAATGTGCTGCACAAAAGGAGTTCAGAGAGCCTTTCATGGATGACAATTGTTTCTGCTATTTGCAAATAGCAAACATTTGCTGGATGTGATGCTTGACAGGATGTTTGAAAGCAAACACACAAGTATTTAGCTGTATTTGAGAGGTCGAGCAAAGTTCTCTGTGCAGTTAGAGTTCAGGAGATCTTTGCTCCAGGTGTTTACAACTCTGAGCTTCGATCAGGAGTGACCTGAAGAAGCTCTCCCATCAGTGTACCATCTGACATTGTTTAAAACATTCCCACTGGATCCTGCTGGATATTTGACCTGAACAACAAAACAAGATATCAGTGCCTTGCCAAATACTGTATAAGGCTGAAGAGCACTTCACCTGCACTTGATTTGTGACTTTCAAACAGATTAGCACTAACTCCTTATTACATGAGATAAAGATTGTTAGTGGGACTCAAGTTTAGCAACACAAGTCCAAGTTAAGTTTGGATTTGTGTTGGTGTTTAGACCACGAATTTGAGCTGACTCTCAAATATTTGGGACTTCGATGTTACTCAGTTACAAGCCTACGATTTGTATTTCCTTCTCTGCTATGTGCACTCCATAAAGTCAAAAAAGAGGAACAAGTAGAAGTGCAGAAAAACAATAAAAAAATGTGAGTCAATAATGTAAACTGTAAAGAAAGAAATTATCCTTTGATACTTAATTTGGAAGTTGTGCCAGATGAAGAATAGATATAGTTTCATTCATAAAAGAGTTCTGCAACAGAACAGGAATCCAGTCATAATCTGATCATGTGCCAATCACATAGCAATAAACGCAACATAAAAATATAAACTTCTCAGTTTTAAACAGCCTGAGAAACAAGGGATGGTGATAAATTACAGATTTATTTGTTTGGAGTTGATTTAACCAAATCCAGAACAAAGATCCACCGTGTATTTTGTGAACTGATGGACTCAAAGCTAGTGTGAGAGACAAAGTAACAAGGTAAAGTTCAACTGCAAGAGGAACTAAAGAGCTGCTTCTTCCTGTTCGTAAAGAACGTTCACACATTTTTACAGCATCTCTATTAAAAAAAAAGTTGAAACGTGCAGCCATATTCAGTAAAAAGGAATATGCATTTCAATTAGAAACCTTGGTCAGAAGTACTATTTGGCTTTTTAGCAGGTACTAAACATACCTTTCATTAAGCCCACATTTCTGTATTAAAAATGTTTCTTTTATTGATCTGATGTTATATTTTAATCTTAAATGTTTTTAATAGTTTTAGGTGGACAATCATTCTTAGCAGCACTAGCGAAGTGAATTCTTCCAAAGTGTTGGGGATGAGAGTCAGCTGGGGAGAGACTTTGGCTTTCAATGCAAGAGTAGGGCATATATCTATTTTGACTGGATCTCTATCAATCTTTAAAATAATGAAATACTTGTCACATGTCCCATAGTAGCTCAAGAAATATAGAATGTTGTCTAAAATGCACAATGGTAGCATTAGTATGCTTAGCTGCAACATTCCCGTTTTATCATCTTGGGCGATATTATAAATCCTACCATTTTGTAACTTCTGTCACTTGGTTTAGGACAATTCATGCAGTATTTGAAATGAATACTCTGATTTGATTGAAAAAGATCCATCTGTGAGTGGCTGGTGGTGTGGTTAAATTACATGTGCTTTGTTAAAGCAAATACAAGGCCAAACTTGTACTCAGAATGCACAGAGCAAGAGAGCTGGAGCAGAGCTCACACTAGGACACACAGCGAGTGAGTGTAAGATTTAAATGCACACGCCACAAATTATGATTTGTTTACATAGATATGTGTGCTCACATCAGTTTTATATTCCTGCTCAAATATGAAATGTCTTCAGCAAGGTTGTGGGAAAAGTGAGGGCGTTAAACCAGTTTCTAATATGGGTGACATGGGCAACCACCCAGGGCGACATGTTGTGGGAAGTGGCATGAGGTACCCTCCCCCCAGATCCCATGTTGTCAAACCTCCAACCCCCAACCCTCACCCATTCACACTCTCACAAGTGGAGGAGGATCTGAATGTCAACCACAATGATTGTGTCACCACTTTTTTTTTTTTTTTTACCTGTGTATCAAAGCTGCCGTAATTTTTTTTATATTATTTCTGATAGATTTTACACCTTACTTTAAATGCCTGGAGGAACCGACTGCTAAATGCTTCCCTCACATCAGATGCAAACTGGATGACAAAAGCTTCACATTGTGTTCATTGTCGCTGCGCTTTTTCTGTATGTTTACAGACCCATCATGTTTTTACCACAGGACCGATTCAGGTACCGGTAACATAACACATCATCAAAACCACAACTCCCCACCCCCCGTCTGCAACTTCATGCCAGGACAGGGGCTGGAAAGGTGGTTCACCCAGGGCGCCAAAAGGGCCATTTTAACCATTTTATGAGAAAACGTGTGGGTGTTTTAACACCCACATCCCGCATGCGTTTGAAGCCCATGATTAGCAGAACTTGAAATGTCATTCTGTGAGTAATTAATCCATACAACGTGAAATAATTTAACTTTTCAATAACATGTTTTCTAGGTTACTAATAATTATTGTATTTGTGTATTTAGAGAGCTCTGTTAAGATATTCTTTAAACAAATTGTAATACTTTCAAATGTGTGCACCATATTCTTGTTTTTCTATTTGTTAAAGAACCAATGGGGCTTAAATAATGGATTCCTCCAAATACACATTTCAGCCGATTCATCTTAGGTTTTCCCCATTCAAGAGGAAAATTGTTGTTCAGTTAGTAATTTCTTTGTGTTTTTGAGAATATACTAGCCTTCTCAAATATAGATAAAATAATGACTAAAACAGATTGTAGAGCAACAAAATGAGCAGATTCAGTTTTTTTATTGAACAAATGACAAGATTTTATACATCAAATTACATATGTACACATTTCCTTACATGACTTGTTTTAATAGTCTTTATTAACACATTTTCAAGAAAGTGTGCAGCAAGAGATGACAACTCCACTCACTTCTGGTAAAAGCAGTTCAGAGTATCCAGGGGACAACGATATTTTCATACACTATCTTGTTCCGTTGAACACTAAAGAGTGAAATCCGGGTTGTTTTCTGTGTTTGTTACTCTATCCACATACCTCTTTTTTCAAGGTAGGGCTATTCTGGTCCAATCTTATCACCTATGTTACTGTGGTCAACTTTGTTGCTGTTATTACAAGTTTCTCACATGGTACTCTGAACAATCAATTCAACCAATCTGGATTCAGCAGAGTCCAAAGCCAGTAAATGTTTCTGCTAATTGCAAATAGCAAACCTTTGGTGGATGTAATGCTTGAGCGCATACTTGACCGTAAATATACAAGGTTTTGGCTTTGGATGAGTGTATTGTTTGTTTTTGTATATAAAATACAATTGATTTTATAAATCTTGATCTTATTTAACACTTAAAACCATGACATTTACATCACTTAAATGATTGTTTTTGTAGTAAACAAATTTGATTTCAATATACAATTCATGAAGTATACTCACTGTCAAAATATATTTCTAGACATTTTATTTATTTATTTATTTATTGCTTCATATAAACGTCCTCAGCTCTAAATGTGCGTGGAAGCTCTGCCGTCCATGGAGCTGGACCTGGACAGGTATCGACTGGTAGTGCGTCCTTCATCAGCCATTGCGTTCTCCATCTTTGAAAGCAAAGAGCTCTTCAGCTTCTTCTGGAAGTCGTTTCCCATGAAGACGTACAGCAATGGATTGAGAAAACTGTTTGCTGATGCTAAAATGACACCCATTTGAATTCCAGTAGTTAAAACGTTGAGGTCGTATTGGCGGTGGTTCAGCTCCATCAGGACAAACACGTGGTAGGGCAGCCAGCACACGAAAAATGCAACAATGAGAGCAGTCATTACTTTGAAGGGTTTGGAGGACTTTGCCATCCTGTTGTTTTGAAGTTTGAAGATGATGATGGAGTAACAGATGATAATGATGGTGAATGGAACCACGAAACCCACAATGAAGCGGGTCACAACAGTAATCATGTGAGTAGATGTTGTGTCGTAATTAGTGTAGCAGGACTGAGATCCATCAGAATTCGTGTGGACCTGACGATAGATCAATGAGGGAATGGACATTCCGGCGGCGAGAAGCCAAGCAAAAACAACCACGGCGGATGCCTTTTGAACAGAGCGGTGGTTCTGGGCCCAAACTGGAAACATGACGGACACACAGCGGTCCATGCTGATGATGATGAGGAGGAAGATGCTGCTGAACATGTTGATGAACAACGCTGCAGAGGTGAACTTGCACATGAAGGAACCAAAGAACCACTCTTTCATTGCTATACTGACGATGTTAAATGGCAGAAAAGCACAGAATAAAAAGTCGGACATGGCGAGGCTCAGGTACCAAGTGGTGTTCACGGTCTTCCTCATCTTAAAGCCAGAGATCCAGATGACCAGCATGTTCCCAAAAAAGCCCAGCAGGAAAATTACCACATTGATTACAGTCAGAAGCATGCACGTGCCTTCCTTCAGACAACTTTCTTTGTGTTGTGAAACTGTTCCTTCAGCTGTCGTGATGTTGTCCATATTTGAGTAGTTGTAATCTGTGAAGTCCTCATAATCCATGAATTCCATTTTACCTTCCAGAAGAAAGATTAAATTTCTGTCAGACATTATTGATTACAAATAAAAAATAAATAAATAATCAATTACGGTTGATTTTAAAATGAAAGCTAAAAAACATCAGAATTGTAAAAATAAATACCTTTTGCTTGGTCTCAAATTGTCTGCCGTCTTTTTGTGGTGGTTTGTTCTGAGCTGAGCACCGACTGAGCTGCTCCGTTTCTCTCAGATGCTTTAGAAACCACATATATGATCAGCTGACATGGGGAGGTTTCTCAACACTTCCATCCCCTACGAAACTTCAGTACTGCATTCTGAGCTCTTACTTTTAAAGATCGGAGATATTTTGTGCTTGTTTGTAAGTGATCTGTTTGATCTTTTCACATTGTTCATTTTGTTTCCAGAGGAATATTCCATTTTATTGTGTCAACAACATTTATTATACATTTATTTAGAGAGTTGTTCTCTAAACGTAATACCAGTAACCAAGACATTATTGTTTTATGAGCTTTACAGGCAGCTAATACTCTAGTGCGCAGGAGAAAAGAGAAGTAATGAAGCAATTAGACATGCGTGATTTAGCGAGTATATCTTGTGAATCGACTGTAATGTTTCTGAGAAATCTGTTGCTAGCAGTTGCCACATGTAGTGAAGAACAAAGTAAAACCCTAACTTTTGTTGCAGATGTTTGACTTAGTTCTCAAAAAAAAAAAAAAAAAGTAACAGCTGGAGTAAATACACCAGCTGTACTTACTGATTGACTGTGGTCACTGTGCTCAACAGAGGAAATAAAAACTGAGGTTTGTGCATGTGGTGTCCGGAATGGTTTGTGCTTTTTTTAAATTCATGCTGCTATCGCTGCGGCAATATTTGTATATTTTTTTTCGGGGAGAGGGGGGGGTCGGGGTTGAGACATTGTTTTTATACATATAACTGTAATTTATAAAATACTGATTGCAAACAATCATGTCAATTTTTTTATTTGCTTTAATTTAATCATTGACGGTATGATCTCAAAAGCCCTTTCGTTTTGCTTCATAAGCCTGGCGACAAACTATAGTGCAAACTTTAGAGGAAATACATTTTAAGCTGTGCTTAAAATTTATTTCTACAACTTTGAGTCATTTATCACATATTTAGTACAGTGGTGTGAAAAAGTGTTTGCCCCCTTCAGTGATTCAGAACATCAAACCAATTCAAATATTAGTCAAAAACAACTAATAAATTCTACATTTTGTTTCTAAAAGAAGGTGGTGTACTGGTTTACTAACTGGTTGCCGTCTAAGCTTAATAACTGGTTGCTGCACCATTTGCTGCAATAGCTTCAGTCAAGCTTTTGCAATACGTTGCAGAGTCTTTTTCTGTGGTGTGGAGTAATTTTAACCCACTCTTTGCAGAATTGTTATATTTCAGCCACACTGGAGGGTTTTCAAGCATGAAAGACAGGACTTCGACTACGCAACTCCAAAGTCTTCATTTTGTTTTTCTTAAGCCACTTAGAGGTGGAATTGCTATAATTTTCTCATAAAATGTTCAATTGGCACCAAACTTGGCATGATGGATCCTGCTTGGATGCCTGACGATCCTATGTCATCATAGTCTGACCTCACCTAAGCCCCGCCCCCTCAGAACAGGAAATGACATTTATTTTTACTTGGAAAGCTCCAACTCTGGCTCCCTTGACCTAATCAAGATGCTCTTGTGTCAGATGACTAATAAGTTGGTCTCGCTTGCTTAAGCGCCAAGAGTTTTGGTGGAGGGCGTAGCCATGGCAGCGCGGCGAAGTCACAGGTCATGCCACCGCCATACGTTTGGCTCTAGATTACACGTTTCAGCCCAGCTGCACCAAACTCACCAACATCGATCCTTGTCCACCCCCCGACAGGAATCCAGTGCAATAGTTGGTGGGCGTGGCCTAATTCCTCCACAGCGCCCCCTAGACTATTATAAAAAAATCTGCCCCAAGCCATGCTTTATCCCAGAATTCTGAAACTTGGTACACATGTGCATCTCGTCAGTTGCCTGGAGGAACCGACTGCTAAATGCTTCCCTCACATCAGATGCAAACTGGATGACAAAAGCTTCACATTGTGTTCATTGTCGCTGCGCTTTTTCTGTATGTTTACAGACCCATCATGTTTTTACCACAGGACCGATTCAGGTACCGGTAACATAACACATCATCAAAACCACAACTCCCCACCCCCCGTCTGCAACTTCATGCCAGGACAGGGGCTGGAAAGGTGGTTCACCCAGGGCGCCAAAAGGGCCATTTTAACCATTTTATGAGAAAACGTGTGGGGGTTTTAACACCCACATCCCGCCTGTGTTTGACGCTCATGATTAGCAGAACTTGAAATGTCATTCTGTGAGTAATTAATCCATACAACGTGAAATAATTTAACTTTTCAATAACATGTTTTCTAGGTTACTAATAATTATTGTATTTGTGTATTTAGAGAGCTCTGTTAAGATATTCTTTAAACAAATTGTAATACTTTCAAATGTGTGCACCATATTCTTGTTTTTCTATTTGTTAAAGAACCAATGGGGCTTAAATAATGGATTCCTCCAAATACACATTTCAGCCGATTCATCTTAGGTTTTCCCCATTCAAGAGGAAAATTGTTGTTCAGTTAGTAATTTCTTTGTGTTTGAGAATATACTAGCCTTCTTAAATATAGATAAAATAATGACTAAAACAGATTGTAGAGCAACAAAATGAGCAGATTCAGTTTTTTTATTGAACAAATGAAAATTTTATACATCAAATTACATATGTACACATTTCCTTACATGACTTGTTTTAATAGTCTTTATTAACACATTTTCAAGAAATTGTGCAGCAAGAGATGACAACTCCACTCACTTCTGGTAAAAGAAAATATAAATTCATGTCATGATTTGCAGGTGAAGTGGTGAGGAGAAATGCAGATGAGCCCAGGTTGTTATATTTAGAAGATGATATAATGATGAATTCAGGTAACCAACTCAAAGTCACAGGCAGCACTGGAAGTTGACAGACAACGAACGTATGACGAGGACCCAACAAGGAACAAAGACAACAGGTGGACTTAAATACACAGGGAGGGTAATCAGGGAACTAGACACAGCTGGGATCAATCAACTCATAGGGCAGAACAACACAGAGACTCATAGAACAAAACAATAAATAAATACACAGAAACACAGAACTCAACTATTCATGAAATATACTCACTGTCAAAATATTTTTCTAGACCTTTTATTTACTTATTTATTTATTTAGCTTCATACAAACGTTCACGCCTCTAAATGTGCCTGGAAGCTCTGCCGTCCATGGAGCTGGACCTGGACAGGTATCAACTGGTAGTGGGTCTTTCATCAGCCATTGCGTTCTCCATCTTTGAAATCAATGAGCTCTTCAGCTTCTTCTGGAAGTCTTTTCCCATGAAGATGTACAGTAATGGATTGAGGAAACTGTTTGCTGATGCTAAACTGCTAACCACTCGAATTCCAGTAGTTAAAACGTTGAGGTCGTATTGGCGGTGGTTCAGCTCCATCAGGACAAACACGTGGTAGGGCAGCCAGCACACGAAAAATGCAACAATGAGAGCAGTCGTTACTTTGAAGGGTTTGGAGGACTTTGCCATCCTGTTGTTTTGAAGTTTGAAGATGATGATGGAGTAACAGATGATAATGATGGTGAATGGAACCCCGAAACCCACAATGAAGCGGGTCACAACAGTAATCATGTGAGTAGATGTTGTGTCGTAATTAGTGTAGCAGGACTGAGATCCATCAGAATTCGTGTGGACCTGACGATAGATCAATGAGGGAATGGACATTCCGGCGGCGAGAAGCCAAGCAAAAACAACCACGGCTGATGCCTTTTGAACAGAGCGGTGGTTCTGGGCCCAAACTGGAAACATGACGGACACACAGCGGTCCATGCTGATTATGAGGAGGAGGAAGATGCTGCTGAACATGTTGATGGACAACGCTGCAGAGGTGAACTTGCACATGAAGGAACCAAAGAACCACTCTTTCATTGCTATATTGACAATGTTAAACGGCAGAAAAGCACAGAATAAAAAGTCGGACATGGCGAGGCTCAGGTACCAAGTGGTGTTCACGGTCTTCCTCATCTTAAAGCCAGAGATCCAGATGACCAGAATGTTCCCAAAAAAGCCCAGCAGGAAAATTACCACATTGATTACAGTCAGAAGCATGCACGTGCCTTCCTTCAGACAACTTTCTTTGTGTTGTGAAACTGTTCCTTCAGCTGTCGTGATGCTTGAGTAGTTGTAATGTGAGTATTCCACATAATCGACGTCATCCATTTTACCTTCCAGAAGAAAGATGAAATTTCTGAGACATTATTGATTACAAAACCGAAAAAAAATCCTTTGTTTTAGAAACTGCATATATGATCAGCTGACTTGGGGAGGTTTCTCAACACTTCCATCCCCTATGAAACTTCAGTACTGCATTCTGAGCTCTTACTTTTAAAGATTGGAGATATTTTGTGCTTGATTGTAAGTGATCTGTTTGATCTTTTCACATTGTTCATTTTGTTTCCAAAGGAATATTCCATTTTATTGTGCCAACGACATTTATTAGGCCCGAGCAGCAAAGCGCTGGTTAAGGCCTATTGTAATAGCAAGATTCCTTGATTATTATATTATTTTTGTCCCGTTACTTTACGCAGCTGTTTGGGGCCTTTAACATATTCAAAAACCCACAAAACTTGACCCACAATTGTCCCCCAACCAAAATTTTTGGATTCCGGTGGAATTGCAAGTGGGCATGGCCAAACTGCTCTACAGCGCCCCCTAACGTGAGTTTGGTGCCAATTGACCTTTTTATGAGAAAGTTAGCCTTTCGTTTGTTTTGGCGAGTACACCAAGTTCGCCTCTCTGCCACGCTCCCTGAACATATACGAAAAGTCAATTTTATTGATAACTTTTAAAGCCCCATGCCTTAACTGCATTCTGACCAAGAATGAAGCTGATAGATCAAATGCCTGAGGAGGAGTTCGTCAAAGTTCGACATGAGTAAAAATGAAAAATGACCAAAATTTCTCCTTTGACCCAAAATGGCTGCCTCCCTGTGCATTTTAGAGGGTACTTCCAAGAGACTTTTTTTCTTGAATCAGGGAGATCTACCTACGTACTGAGTTTCAGATCTCTACAACCTATGGTTTCCCCCAACTTGGCATGAGGGATCCTGGTTGGATGCCTGACGATTCTATGTCGTCATAGTCTGACCTCACCTAAGCCCCTCCCCTTCAAAACAGGAAGTGACTCTTTTTACTTGGAAAGCTCCAACTCTGGCTCTCTTGACCTAATCAAGATGATCTTGTGTCAGATAACTGATAACAAGTAGGTCTCACTTGCTTTAAAGCGCCAAGAGTTTTTAGTGGAGGGTGTGGCCATGGCAGCGCGTCGAAGTCACAGGTCAGCACAATCTTGAGGCATTGAAGGTCAAAAGTTATCAAAAGAATTTATCTATGTCAAAGCATGTGGACGTGGCCAAGCCTCAGATCTGGCCATTCTCCATGAAACTTCAAGGTGGAATAACTTCCCCTCATTAGTTCCCAGCTACACCAAACTCACTGAGATTGATCCTTGTCCAGCCCTCGACAGGACTGCAGTCCAATATTTGGAGGGCGTGGCCTAATTCTTCCACAACGCCCCCTAGAATTTTTTTAAAAAATCAGCCTCCAGCCATGCTTTATCCCGGAATTATGAATCTTGGTGCACATGTGTATCTTGTGAGGACCTACAAAAAAGTCTCTTGGAGCCATGCTCTAAACCCAACAGGAAGTCCACCATGTTGAATCAAAGCCGCCATTTTATTTTATTGATGTCGTATCTGAGTGAACTCGTCTTAGAGCTTTCGAGATCCAGGCTTCAAACTCAGACAGCACAGTCTTGAGGCACTGAGGGTCAAAAGTTATCAAAGAAATTTTTCTACATTAAAGCATGTAGGTGTGGTTAAGCCTCAAATCTGGCCATTCCCCATGAAACATCAAGATGGAATAACTTCCCCATATATGCTCCCAGCTGCATCAAACTTCATTTGTTTCATCACAGACCAGAGCTTATCACATTTAAATGGTCAATTGGTGACATCAGTTTAGCCCCACCCCCTCCCAACAGGAAGTCACCTGTTGGAAGGAGCAGTTAGAACAGTCTTTCTTTCTGTTGGAAGAAAGAAAGACTGCCCTAAATCATACATGCATCATCCTATTTGCAGTAAATATGTTAGGCTTGACTTTTGTTAGCCTCTAAAGAGCCCAATAGCTTGACATTGCAATTCAGATCGACTGCACTTGTGCGATGTCAGGGAGCGCTGCGGAAAATGTAGGTGTGTGTTGCCTGGCAGACGGAAACTGCGCGAGAGCGTCGGCAGTGGCGAGAGCGTTGCAGTGCTGGAACCCCACGGTGGCTAATAGGCCTTTGGCGCGCTTCGCTGTGAGAGCCTCCAATGCCGCTGCTGCTAGCAGTTGCCACATGCAGTGAAAAACAAAGTAAAACCCTAACTTTTGTTGCAGATGTTTGACTTAGTTCTCAAAAAAAAAATGTAACAGCTGGAGTAAATACGCCAGCTGTACTTACTGATTGACTGGTTGAGTGTGGTCGCTTTGCTCAACAGAGGAAATAAAAACTGAGGTTTCTGAATGTCTCCGGAACGGTTTGTGCTTTTTTTAAAATTCATGCTGCCATCACTGCAGCAATCTTTGACAGTTGCTTTTTGTTGTTTTTTTTGAGACATTGTTTTTATACGTTTCACTGTAATTCATAAAATGCTGATTGCAAACAATCATGTAGATTTTGTGTTTTATTTTCTTTAATTTAATCATTGACGGTATGATCTCAAAAGCCCTTTTGTTTTGCTTTATAAGCTTGGTGACAAACTACAATGCAAACTTTAGAAGAGAGGCTGTGCTTAAAACGTATTTCTACGACTTTATCTTGAGTCATTTATCACATATTTAGCACAGTGGTGTGAAAAAATGTTTGCCCCCTTCAGTGATTCAAAATGTCAAGCCAATTCAAATATTAGTCAAAAACAACTAAGAAATTCTAAATATTGTTTCTAAAAGAAGGTGGTGTGCTGGTTTACTAACTGGTTGCTGTCTAAGCCTAATAACTGGTTGTTGCACCATTTGCTGCAACAGCTTCAGTCAAACTTTTGCAATACGTTGCAAAACTTTATTTGAAGGGGGCGTGAATAAGACTGTCATGACACCGTCATAAACATCACATGACACCTGTCATGAACATGAATAAGCCTTCATGAATATTTATGACTGTTGTCATAAAGCGTCATTTGGTAAATTATGACACTTTTAATACAAAGTTGACATTATTCAAAATGTCTTTGTTATGACAACTTGACATTAACCAATAAATCATTACTGTTTAAACTTTACCTTTAATAACATAAAGTTACCTAATTTTTAAAGTGCAATCAGTAATTATTTTATAACAAATTTATATCAGTAATGATTTCTTGGTTAATGTCAAGTTGTCATAACGACATTTTGAATAATGTCAACTTTGTATTAAAAGTGTCATAATTTACCGAATGACGCTTTATGACAACAGTCATAAATATTCATGAAGGCTTATTCATGTTCATGACAGGTGTTATGTCATGTTAATGACAGTGTCATGACAGTCTTATTCACCCCCTTCAAATAAAGTGTATCCGAGTCTTTTCCTGTGGTGTGGAGGAATTTTGACCCACTCTTCTTTGCAGAATTGTTATATTTCAGCCACACTGGAGGGTTTTCAAGCATGAAATGCCACTGCATCTCAATAGGACTTTGACTGCGCCTCTCCAAAGTCTTTATTTTGTTTTTTCTTAAGCCACTTAGAGGTGGAATTGTTGGTGTGTATTTTGGATCACTGTCCTGCTACAGAGCCCAAGTTCATTTGAGTTTAAGGTCACAAAACGGATGGCCAGACTTTATCTATCAGGATGTTTTAGTCGACAGCAGAATTCATTATTCCATTTTATCACAGCAAGTCTTTCAGGTCCTGAAGCAGTCAAACAGCCTCTGATCATCACACTACCACCACCAACATGCACCCTGAAAAAAAGGAACATGTGAGAAAATGAACTGAAACGGGGAGCAAGGACCAGAAAGACAGTTCAGACAATATTTAGAACCTGAGGGGCTAAAACAGAAACATCAAGATGAATATTTATGCAGATGCTAATAACTAACAGCAAATTAGAGCAGCTAATTATCCTGGTATGCATGTTTCACGACTGTGGGGGGAAAACATACTTGCTGTGTTATCTGTGAGAACATGCAAACTACATACAGAAAGTCATAATTAAAATCAGCAATAATAGCTGTAGGACACTAATGTCATTGTGCTGGAAAATGGCTCCATAGAAACGAAATCCACTTCTGCAAAAAAAAAAAAAAAAAAAAAAAAAATAGAAGTTTCCTAAGTTATGCAATGAAGAGCTGAACCAACAATATATCATTTAACATGTCACAAAATCCTTCAGACTCATAACTATGTCATTAGATAATGACAACAGAATTTGTTACGCATTACTTCGTGTTTCACTCTGGATCATCATTTAACTCTGTGGAAAATTAGAAAATAATAGATTGTGTAAACTAGATTATCTGACCTACTTAAATGCATTTTAGCAAAATTACTTTCTAAATCCTGTCCAATGCCTCACAGACTCAATTTCCTAATGAAAGCAAAGGTTATAAATAATCAAAGACATGCACACTGAGCAGGTGTAGACTTACTTTGGGAAATGCTCTGCAAGCTTCCTAATGAAACCTGGACTCTTGTTTTATGTTTCACAAGCAGCTTGATGGGGATCATTTAGATTCCTAGTTAAAATAAAGTATTTACACAAGTCAGTTAATTTAAAAATTGATTTTTTTTTTGTTTGTTTGGAGTATTTATCTAATAGTGTTACATGGTTAGATGGGTGGCATCATTAAAAATAAAAACAATTTTTAATTCTTCCACTCGGACCTAAAAAGTTTTGTTGTCATTTCTATAAAATGGGTTGTGTGGTGTACTTTTAAAATAATCAGCATCACAGCTGCCTTTAGCAGATCGAAGGCGTTTTAACAGGAAATGCTCAGTCAGCGTGGCAACATTTGCTCTGCATTACCAGCAACAGAGCACACACCTTAACACTACTAAAGTTTTCTAGTTCACATGTTTTCTAGTTCACATGTGAATTTTCCTAATGTTGATCAAAAAGTACATTTATTATGAATGTAAGCTAAACGATTTTTGCAATGTGATTCTGCTTCGAAGCTATTTTTTTTTTTTAAATGTGTTTGTTGGGCTGTTGTGTTTCCTAAATAGCAAATGTCAGCAGGTGAACTTTGACTCTGAAAATTTAGGGGAAATGAAAGCTTCTTAAACCACCCTCTGACATCACATGGCTTTAAATTGGGTGTTTCTGTGGCATTGCATTATGCAGAAAATGAACAGAAAATTAACACTGGTAGGACATAAACAAAAGCAAAACAAAAACACAGACATCGTGGTGACAGTTCTTGCATATTTAAGTCACATTGTGGGTTTTTATAAAGTGTCTATTTCCACCATTTCCATACGAAGGCACCCATTTTGATTCACAGCAAGAATGTGAGTTTATATTATTCAGTATTTCAATTTTAGAAAAGTAATCCATCTGGTTTGTGTTGGAAAGTACTTCAGGAAACAGTTTTTTCCATAGTTTGTAGAGAGCAGCAGAGGGCAGCGAACACCATCTGTGGATAATGGCCCTCACTGTGGTTCATTTGAGTCCCAGTATATTAGAAAAGACTTTCTTACACATCAACAACTTTGGTTCTCATCTTAAATTTAATATCTATTAAATGCAGGCGTCACTTTTCCCTTTAGTTAATAACACAATCATTTTAAAACTCCTGTTTTTACCGTAGTTATCCTTATATGACATTAGATTGTTCACTCACTCACTCTTTTGTGAATTCCTGCCTGCCGGTGTCTGATGTTAACAAGTATTATAGTAGTTTCAGGTAAGCTGAACATTATTGCCACTTTTCTGCCATCCATCTGAAATCCATTACAGAGATTAAAGTGCGGCTGAGAAAAACAGCTCAGCTCCATAAAACTTCTCTCCACAGATCTAAAGCTAAAATAAAAGTGGGCAGAGTTTTTGAATTTTATGTCGTCAGTGGTAAGAGCGAAGAATTTTTTAAAAATGATTAGACAAGCAAGGTGTTGCAATGAACTCCCAAATTTATGCTGCAGTTTCTCAGAGCCTCTATTACTTCTGCTTTTTATTATTAGAAGTTTCCTTCTTGTTAGCGTCATTCTGACAAGTTACCTAAGAGGGACTCAGTGACTCATATGTCATAAAGTTTTGGTCAAATGTGCAAAATAGGTAGTTTTCTGTGCATTTAAATTTAGATTTTTATTTCTTCAAACATACATTCTCAGGAATTTTAACATAACTCATACAGTTTTAAAGGCATGCTTGTGATACTACATATCATGAAGTATCGAGATACACATACACATAAATATATTCTGCAGGTGTGGGTGAAGGACACAAGAAAGGTTATGGTGTTTTATCTGCTTTATTTGCGAGTGAAAACTGTTGATCATACAGTCTTACAAAAGTTTACAAACTATTTGACCTCTTTCACATTTTATGACATTACAGCCATTACTGTGATTTACTGGGATTCTTTGTGATTGACCAATACAAAGTAGCGTATAAATGAGTCTGAACCTCATATATTTTAAGTTATAATTACGACTGCAAGCCTTTTGAATTGCACATCCAGAAATCAAAATCCGTACTCATTCTGCAGTGGAGAGTCTTGCTGAATCAAGTGTGGAGAACTGTGTGGGAAAAGTCCACGCTAATCTCAAGGTACTTTATTGATGCACATATTAAATATTTACACCGACCATGAAAGTGGAAATGACAGAGAGCACTTTGAGAAAATTGGGCTGAGATCAAAAGAGGCTTCGGTTGTGTCGTGTCTTTGTGATTTGACAGGACACGTACATGCACCCTGCTCTCAGAAGATTAAAGCTGCCTACTTGGCAGCTGCGCTATGCACAGATGGGCCAGCATGGCTATATGCTACATCTTTACATCAATAGGATTTTATACTAACTGCAGGGAGAAGAGATCAGCTTGAAGGTGTATCCTCCACTGATTTAAAAGAAGGTAAACTTGCAGTCCCAATACATAGAAATTAGCTTTAAATCAGCCAATACTAAGCTTTGTGAAACACACAACGCTTCAAATGTGGAAAACTTACTGTATTTTTTCTGGCTTCATTTGTTCAATAAAGCATCTTTTTTTTCTGAGATGTACTGAAAAATAAATTATGGTACTGAGGCTTTGGGTATTGATGTTTACTGTCAAAGAATCTTCTGTGTTTTCTGATGAATTAATTGTTATTTATTGTTTTTGTATTTCATGCCATATTTCCAACTAAAGCCAATACGAAAAGAAGCAATAGTTTAATTATTCCTGTATATTCTTGCTGAATACACTGTCAAATATCTGTAAATATAAAACAGCAGAAAAAGGTAAGTAAGAAAAAATATTTTGTTAATTTATTACACCACATATTGCTGCTAAGTGTGACGTTTCTCAATTAATTTGATGCATCTCTCTGATCAGAATTAAAATTCTATGAAGTAGATAGAGTGCATATTTTGAACTATTGCATTATATGTATAAGTTTTTCTTGAAAACTGA